TTTTTTTTTTTTTTTTTTTTTTTTTTTTTTTTTTTTTGAGATCGTTTGGGAAAGGCTTATCCGTGGGAAAGGCTGAAACTAAAGCAAAAGAAAGAAAACTGGAAAAGATTCCCCGGGTTGAAGGCGTCGTTCCAATCCAGAGAGAGGTTCGGGGGAGCTTACGCGTAGGGGTTTAGAAAGCCTGGGAACAAAGTTTTCCGAAGTTGTGGATGTTTTGGGGGAGGGGGTGGGGCGATGGTTTTCGAATGATAGCGCTGGATTTATTTTATTTCTTATGAATTAGGGTTTGTCTGTGAGATTGAATCCGAAAGGCAGGTTGGGGGTTTTAAGCTTAGAGGCTGACTTTCGCTCAAAAAAGATTTTTTTTCCCCCTAAAATCAGCAGAGATTTTAGAACAGCCCACTGCCTTGTGTTCGACATTAAAGTGCTAGAAGTAGTCTGAAGAATGGATTAAACAGCTTCCTTAAGCTTCAGTTGCTACTGGCAGTCTGCTGTTCAGAAATTCTTATGTCAGGTCGAGATACTGTGAAATGTGAGAGGCATATGTAAATGTGGAGGAAGTTAGTTGAATAAGGTGGATAATTTTACGATGTCCATCTCTGTTAAACTTGTTGAACCTTCTTACCCAGGCTCACTTTTGGTGGTTTTAATTCCCCCCTTTTTTTTTTTTTTTTTTTTTTTTTAACAGTTCTACTCTAACCATTTTGATAGCTCCTTTCAAGTCAAACAGATGTTAGTCAGTCCTCCTTTTTATGACCCAGACAACCTGTGGTGGTGGGTGGAATTCATTCTTTTGTGTTGCTGGCCGGTCGTTGATTTTAGAAAGTCAAGGCTCAGGTATTAGTACCTCACGGCGGTGTTTATGGGCTCGGTCCTGCTCAGCACACTCACATTAGGGTTTATTAGGCTCAGAAGTAACCCAGCTTAGCAGGGGCTTTCTCTGTAAAAGCGTGGGTTTATTTTGTTTATTCCCAGAAGGCATGGGAAATAGAGCTTGTTTGGATTGGTTTTGTTATTTGCACAAAAAATACCTTTGCCTAAATCTTACCAAGGAAGGGCACCCTCCCTCTTTTTTTTTTTTTTTTTTTGAGGCAGAGTCTCTGGCTGTCTTAGAATTCACTGTGTAGACCAGGCTGGCCTCACAGAACTCACAGATCTGCCTGCCTCTGCTGGGATGAAAAAGGCGTTCTTTCACTCATAAATCTGCCTGCCTCTGCCTCCAGAGTGCTGGGATTAAAGGTGTGTGCCACCACACCTGGCTGAAGGTCACTTATTTTTAAGATATAAAGCCCTAAATCCTGGACGCCAGCCTGAGGCTAGTGCCTATAAAGAATGTTGTGATGGGAAAAAATTGAGTTTTGAGCAAATTGGGTTCAGATCTCAGCTTTCTGTATTACTACCTTTGGAGATTATCCAGAACATTTGGTAGGCCTAACATTTTTCTTGTTTTAGGTGTGCCCGACTCATTTACATTATTCTGGAAAATAATTTTGTTTCTGTTTTACAGAAGAGGCATTTTAGGTATTAAAGGGTTAAATAGTAGATACCTGAAGGTATTTAGTAAGATGATAGAAGCTGTGACTTGTGAAAAATGGAAAGCTGAATTTTCCAAGTATCGGTTGATTAGTATTTAGAAATGATTTTTTTTTTTTTATAATTGGAATTCTTCTTAAGAAATGTACAGTAGTCTGTCTCAGGTGCTGCACTCCTTTAATCCCAGCACTTGGGAGGCAGAGGCAGATGTTCAAGGCCAGCATGGTCTACACACAGAGAAAACCCTGTTTTGAAAGTTGAAAAAAAAAATGTACTGGACCAAGTGCTATTAACAGAATTTTCTGTTCTGTAGGCAAACTGGAAATTATGATTAGCTGCTCAGTGATCCGTAATGCAGAGGAAGAGGGGATTAGTTGGATAACCTTATGGTAGATCCAATGTGGGTGTATACTGCAGGCATGTACCTGTATCTCAGGATTCATGCCTCCTGAGAAAACTTTTTTAAAACTTGACCCCTGAGCTACCCCTTCCCAAGCCTGATGATGTTGCCACCTTTTAATGTGCCATCACTTTGTTTTAGGACATTGTTCTGTCAAACCCTTAACCTTAGAGGGGTGTTCTGTGTTGGTTTCCTTGATTGAATTGGTCCTCACCATTTCTCCTCCTTGTGAACTAACCTTCGTTTGAGGGATAGCTTGCTCTTCCAAGAAACACCTGAAAAAGCTTTCCCTTGTTAAAACTAGTGAGCAGTTCCTAGTAATGTAAGTAGGAATTGATCGGGGGTGTTTGCTGTGGTGGGTGTTGCTGCCCTGTAGCCTTTAATTACCTTTAGGAGGCAGTGTAGTAAGAACATTCTCAGGTTCTAGGTCTTGAGTTCTAATCCTCTAACAATTATTTATTGTCATGCTTATTTTATTATGGTTACTCTTAGAAAAGAATGAAAGTAGGTAGTGCCTTGTGGTCCTGGCTGGCCTGGTTGGCCTCAGACATTCTTTGGTCCTCTTACCTGTTAAATGTTAGGACTACAGGCATGCCCCCCTCCCCCACCAACTGAAGGTTTACATTTATTTCAGCAGTGCTGGGTATGTAAACTGGCGTCTTACACTTCCTAGGCCATTTCTCTTATTACTACGCTTCACTCCCCAGGCCTAAGGTTTGTTTGTTTCCTGGTCCCTCAGTGTCATCCTTTACTTTTTTTTTTTTTTTTTTAATCTTTTTGCAGCAGGGTGTTGTGTAGCACAGGTAGACCTTAAAGTCTCTCTGTGTCATCAATTTTGAAGGCACTTTGCCATGCTTTGAACTTTTCACATTGCGCTTGAATGAGCTTGCTATCACCTCTCATTCCCTCCCCCCCTTTTTTTGTAGACCAGGCTGGCCTCACAGCATCTGTCTGACTCTGCCTCCTGAGTGCTGGGATTAAAATTGTATGCCTCTTTGCCCTACATTTCCCCCCTCCTTTTTGTGGGGGGAGGTCCTGTTAAGACTGATTTTCTGTATCCTTGGCTGTCCTGGAACTCACTCTATAGACCCGCTGGCTCAAATTCAAGGAGATCCTCTCAGAGAGATCCACATACAGAGATCTTACTGCCTCTGCCCCCTGAGAGGCATGCACCACCACCGCCTGGCTGTTTTCCCTTCTCAGAATTTCTAAGACTATAAGGCCCATCACTGTGGGCATTCTGAGTTTTTCTCATTATAAATGTCATTTCAACTTCACAGAGTCCTGTATTAGTTTCCTCATTTTAAAAAATGGGATAGAGGCTGAAGAGATGGCTTAGTGGTTAAGAGTTACTTGCCTGTTGCTGTCAAATGGGGTTCGGTTGTCATAGCCCATGTGGGTAGCTCACAGCCGTCCATAACTCTAGTCCATGGGATCAAATAGGCGTGAATATGATACAGATGCACGCAGAAATGTTCATATACAATTTAAAACAAAATTTAGCTTATGCCTGTAGTCTCAGATCTTGGGAAGTGGAAACATGAGGATCAGTAGTTCAAGGTCATCCTCGGGTATATACCTGAGACACAGTCTTCCAGCATTGTATGCAAGTTCTAAAATTCAGGCAAGAATTGAGTGTGACCCAGGCGTGCTGCCATTCTCTCTGAATTCGAGTGCAGTCTAGAGCTAGAGGCAGCAGGAGCTTAGTTTTAGCACACACCACACACCAGTTGCAGGCCTGCTAGGGCTACATAGTGAGACCCTGTAGGCTAGAAAGGAAATCCTCTCTCCCTCTCATGCTTTTTATACCTTTTTTTTTTTTTTTTTTTTTTTTTTTTTTTGAGAAAGGGTCTTACTTTGTAGCTCAGGCTGATCACCCAGCCTCTTCCTCTGGAGTGCAGGTGCCTGAGGAAACCAGGGCATGCATGGGTCCACCTGGAATTTCAGTAAATCACCTGATGAGGGTACCCAGAGTGAAGCTCCAGCCCTTTCGAAAAGAGCAGCAGGTGCTGAGCCATCTCTCCAGTCCACGTTGTTTTAAAGACAGGGTTCTATTGAGCTTTGTAGCCAGGTTAGTGTCCAGCAGAAGATCCGCATGAACCAATCTTCTAAGTGCTGGATTTCCAGTTTGTAGCATGCTGGTGGTTTTTGTTGTTTGTTAGTGTTTTGGGACAGGGTCTCATCTTGTAGTCTTGGCTGGCCTTGAACACACAGAGATCCAACTGCCTTTGTTCCCTCAGGAGTTGCTGGGATGTACCATCAGTCTCCTGGAGTTTTGAAAGTTCAAGCAGGTATTAGTCCATTACTAAAGTTTACTTTCATTTCTGGTTTTCATTGGAGGCCAGGTTTTGAATTGAATGAAGTGAGGGCATCCCACAAGCTAGGTGTGGTGAGACCTTTACTATTGAACTATATATAGCTTTAGTGTGCGCCCCACCCCCTTTATTTTTCTATCAAAACAGTGTTTCTCTCTGTAGCCCTGGCTGTCCTAGAACATACTGTATAGACCAGGCTGGTCTTGCTCTGCCTCCTGGTACTGGGGTTAAAGGTGTGTGCCACCACCGACTGCCCTACTTTTTTACTTCTAAGACAGGTATTGCCTAGGCTGGTCTCTTATCCTGCAAGCTCAGGTAGGCCTTACACATGTGAACATCCTGCTTCAGCCTTTTAGCCTCTTGAGATGCTGGAATTACAGCCATGTTCCTTGTCAGGACCTGTTTTTCATGCTTTAATAAGAAAAGTCCTTTCTTTCTTTCTTTCTTTCTTTCTTTCTTTCTTTCTTTCTTTCTTTCTAATTGTTGTTTTGTTTTGGTGGTAACAACAACAACAAATCGGACGTTTTCTTAAACTTTGATTTCCTATTTTCGAGATAGGTTTTT